AGGAAGGAAGGAAGGAAGGAAGGAAGGAAGGAAGGAAGGAAGGAAGGAAGGAAGACAGGTGAATTGTGTATAGTAGAATACCACTAAATTAATTAACAAAAACAAGGTTTGGAAGTAAAGTTGGATTCTTTTAAAGCTTACTTTTATGATAAAATATGACAAATTAACAGCCAGATTAGAACAAAATAAATAAAAGGTTTGCAGACAAGAAGCCACAATGGGGTTTATTATCACTCCTAAACAGGTTAAATACCTGGGAATTGATTTGACCAAAATAAATCCAATTAAGACATATTTTTAAAAAATCATTCGCAGATCTGGAAAAAATCTAATGGCAGATTTTTTAAGATGGAAAAAGTTAAAACTATCTTAGGGAGAATTGCAGCTGTTAAAATGAACATTCTGCAAAGGCTTAATTTTCTGTTTCCCCAAACCCCCAAGGCATTAAATATCTGGCAGCGACAAATAACAATTTTTATATTGTCTAATTAATTAAATATATTTAAATTAATTAATTTAAATGTACGAGATTCAAAAGAATGAGGTGGTCTGGCAGCCCAAACTTTAAACTGTATTATAAAATAAGTTATCTAACTTGGAGTACAGATTTTAAATACAATAGTTGATATGCAACTATGGGAATTTCAATAGAAGAAAAACATTAAATTCATGCTATATATTACACTTTGAGAAAACTGATATAAGTTATTTTTTTAGTACTGGTATAGTACTCCAGTATTAATTGCTAAAATGGACAATTCTTTCTCTAGAAATGGTAAGAAATATAATGACGAAGTTGGATCATTTTCCCATATTTGGTAGGACGTTGGAAAGCTCAACAATTTTGGAAAATTATTTATAATAGGATGAAAGAAGTTGTAAAAGCTCCAACCTGCTATTTTTTAAATTTTTGTAGTCTATATACAGGCTATTACCACACCCAAAATTTGGGTTTCTCTTAACATACATTTTTCAATAGAAGAGAATATCTGTAGCTCAGGGTTGAACGGTGGAGTCCTTGGTGCTCTCCGAGGTTGTTTGTTTGTCTGCAGATGTTTCATTACCCAACTAGGTAACATCATCAGTGTAAGTGTGGGGCTTGCCCCCTGTTTATATACGATAGCTTGCCCTGCCAGCTTTGGTGGGGGTGTGGTTTTCTCCTTGGTAGTTCCTTAATTAGGGTATTGCTTTCTGCTTGACTGCTTGCCTGGTATTAATCTGTGCTTAACTGGATGTTGGCTGCTGGATAGGAAGTGTTCTGGTCTTTTTGTTTCCTTTTGACCAAGCTAAATCCAAAATTTGAT